TGTGATAGATGAAGGACAATTATGATTTGCTATGAATCAATCGTTGTTTATACATCATGTGAAAGTACTGACTTGAAAGCATAAATATAGCAGAGGTTTTTGAATTTTGATTTTCAAACAATTCGATTTGAATTGTCACTCAAAAACAGAGTTTGTTTGTTTGTTTTAATGATGATTGTTCGTTGATTCCATAAATTCTATTTATGAAAACATTCAATTTCATCATTTAAGTGTTGACCAAACGAATGCACTCTAAGCGGGGAAATGTGATCAACTATCATGTTTTCTAGAAGGACAATCACTGTAACACTAAGTAGTAAAGGCTGATCGAGTAAGGATTAGCGGAACACAATCTTCATCTCGAATAAATTGTTCGCAGAGCATTAATCAAGAGCAGTTTCATGCATTTTCTCGAATTCAATTTCTCGTCCAATTCAATCTCAACAAAATGAACATTTCAAAAGCTTTCAATCCAAAGTCAGCGTTAAAAATTCGATATTCAGGAAATAGAAAACTCGTTTACCGCTCTCCAATAGTCGACCACCATTGCATAGTAAGTATTCGACCATGGCGCATGAAAATTTGGTATCTTCTCCAGACGATCATCAAAAGTGAAACTGAAAAGTAGTGGTGTATTCACAGTTGATGCGAGGCTAATTACTGCGATTATTTGATCAAACATATCAGTTACTCGATCGATTTAATCAATTCCGAATGCCGTTGCAATATCAAAGTTTGGGCAGATGCGAATGTAAAAACAGAGGTTTTTCCAATGCCAGAAGTCGAAACTTCACATCTCACCTAGACGTATCAGCAGTTAATTTACATGCAAACAGGTCTCAGTGTTACTCGAATGACTTGAATTTCAGAATGGTATTCACCTCAGTTTCTCGGTATTGATGCCATTACGTATTGCAGTCATTGTGCCGGCTAACGAACGCCAAACAGCCGTTGAATCCACCTGATCGCCACCAATCACAGTATCATATTCTATGATATCTTCTTCCAACTGCGCTTCAATCCTGAGGTCACCGCTTAGGAAATGCTCAAACATCTCTTTCCATTTCACATTGCAAGGTACTGTCCATTGTCCAACTGACGGTTCGTCACTGTAAATCAAATAAGATATGAGTCATTCATTCTGATATGGAAGAAACACATTGAAACTATTCTTTCAGTTTGGCATAAATCATTTTTTCAGATTAAAATATTCTCATTCGATCATTTCACTTGAGATTCACCAATTGTCAATTCAAGTTAATCTCATGCAAGCTGAATGGAAAGGATCAGCGAGTTAAGACAACATCGAAGCAAATCCTCAGTGAATTTCCAGTTCCATTTTTGAGCGAAATGAATAAAATTACTTTGGAGAACAAGGAAATAAGGTTGATCCAAGTTTCAAAACCATTGAAAATAGTTTATTGTAATCAACTTCGTTGTAATATTCAAGGTAATAGTTGGATACGTTATCCACAAATAGGATTTCTCACTTATAAATAGTTTGTCCAACGGGTGTAAGCGGATCAGTGGCAATCGGTGGACATTTTTTGAGGACAGCGTTCGATATTTTCAGATCGCCACTCATCAGATTACCGCTCATTTGTCCTTCGATACGATCATATTTGGAGAGTTGCAGCACACCCTGAAACAAATAGGCTGTCAATACGCCAATGTAACAATCGAACATTCATGCATATATTACGGATGGTTTCATTCATTCCCAAAATCCTCGATCTGATGCGATCTTCACTGATCTTAGACGATACTAAATATTTAGAATAATGATCACAGGAACGTTGAGGATAATCAGAAACGATCTCAAACCAATCGATTAAATGAAATCTCGAAATTTCCACGTTACCTTTCCACTTATCATTCCAGTTTTATCGAAATCTCCCTCGTATATCTTACCAAATTCACCGTCCACTGCATGACACAGCAATCGGCCGTACTGAAATGAAATTCACCAGTAGAGTTTGAAGGACTGACTTCTCATGTTTCTCCGACTCATAAAAGGTTTTAACTGCCCTAAGAGATCAACCTTCACACATGAGGCGCATGTACGTTCAAGTTGGAACAATTTGTTGGCTGCTCAATCGCATTTAAAAGTAAATGAATGAAAAAATTTTAAAAGAATTTCTTACCACAAGCCGATCCTTCTCGAACAATCCCTCATGATAAGCGCCATCAATTGAGACAATCGCACCGTTTCCTTGCCTTACATCATTTTGCCACATACCCAAATAACGTTCCCCTGAACCAACTCTTTCTTGTCATACATTGAACTCATAAGAATAATAATGAATCAACAAGGCCGATGATAACGGTAACGAATACTAAAAATGAATGCTCGTTGTTGAGGACATTAAATACTTCATTCGTGAATATTTCGCTGATAGAATGAATTCTATGAAATATGAGTGCTTAGTTTGCTTATAAGTTCACATTCGTCCTTAAATGTAATCAAATGTTGTTGAAATATCATCAAAGCTTAGGCTTGAAAGTATTCGTCGCGACTAATATCGCGAAAAGGGAGGATTTGTTATGTAAATTTGAAATTGTCCATCTGTGCTATGTAAATGTTTCAGAAAGTGATACTTATTATCACTATTCCTTCCGTTGTTATATTGCCGGATTCAATCTTTGGAAAGACTCTCATCCTTTAGTGAATCAGTCTATGTCCAGAAGCAGTCTATGACCTTGATCAGAAGCAACTACAATATTTGATATTCAAAATACAAAAAAGGTGTCTATTATCGCACTGAAGCTGAATACGCTTCAAATATAATGCTTTGCTTCATATCTTGAAATTTTNAATACCGGAGAAGTGATAACGATCATTCATTGATGACTCGGAAGTGATAAGTGACAAGCTTTAACTCAATAAGCACCTACTGTTCGAGGAATTAACACCGTAGCCATGTCTCATGCCAGATCGCCAACCACCAACGTAGATCTGTTGTTCACCACTGATAGTACAGTATCGTTGAACACCATGTCCATGACGTTGTCCATCACGCATATACCCCTCGTAAGTATCACCGTTTGCCCACCTAAACTACTCATTATCTGAATACTTCGAAACTCGAAACACCCTTCGAGAAAATACACCGAAACCGAACAGATACAACCACTTCATTGAGAAATTCTACGAATATCTTTCAAAAAGTAATGCAATAGAAGCATTCCGGAACGAATCCAAAGCTGACGAGATGGTTGACATTCAAGTCTCATAATTACCTGATAGAGACGAGACCGTTAATTTGGCCATTATGCCAACAACCCGTATAGACGTCCACCTTTGACGATGAGGTAGTAGTTTCATCAGAGGTATTCGTGAAGAAGACACTGTTCATTCTCGGTAAAGTGATAACGCTTGCTTGTTGCTCATCAATAGGAACTGTCAACTCACCGAAACTGAATTAAATTAATTTCAGTAAACGACTTCTTTGAAATAGCAAAGAAATGTGATTCAGTGATCAAAATGAATTGCGCAAATTATCATTGTGTTATTTCAAAACACACAGTGTGAAAATTAGATTGTATTCATCATATTAACATAGACCTTTAAAATAAATGGTCTAATGAGTCATTATTCAGTTTCGCTTTCTGCAGATACTGACTCTCGGAAACTTGCGATTGTTTCGTTGACAGTGAATTGGTTCTTTACTGACAGTGAGAGAAATTCTATTCACTTGAACTCTTTCGATGTGCTCAGCAATGAAGGAAAAGATGTCATTTGAAAAAAAAATTACCCTTCAATTATGCCGCATTCAAAATGTCCTTTATATTCTTTCCGATCTGGATATTTCAATCGACCCCTTAAAGAAAAGATTTCTAAAATAAAACAATCAAGTGTCATCGCAAAATTAATTAAGAAATATTTCGGAATTGATAATCAGATGGTATTCAAGTAATGAAAATCATGATATTTGGCTTAAATAAAAGTATTTGTTCGAAATCAGAACTGAATGTTATGTGTTTTTAGACATAGCATAGTCCTGCATTCCTCAGACTTTCGTGGAGCTTAAAACATTTTGCGAATATGTTACCTTCCATGAGGTTCACCGCACAGCCAACCACCTTCATAGATACAGTTCTTGAAGGTGGGATGCGCCGCAGAGAAGACGTATTCTCCGAATCGTTTCTTCAAACCAGCACTCGCGAATGAATCTCCACCACGATGTCGCCTTCTTGCATAACGACGTCCGAATGTACGCCACTGATGACATGCTTGTAGAAAGTCACTCTTAAATACAATTGAACGGTCACACACCCACAACATAAGAGGAAATTTTAAGGTCTATTCTCCAGATTTCTTATCGAATCAACATTTAATAATAACAGGTATATGCAGGACTGTTCCATGTTTAATAACTCCAACAATGTACTCACTTACAGAGCGATTAGATGATTTCGAGTTGAAGCAAAAACATGAAAAGTCATATCCATTTTACATGAATGTTCTCTTTGAGAGATCAACTTCGATTTTTTAGATCTGTTGCATCAAAAGATCACTGCGAAAGAAAAAGTACAAATGAAGATGTGGAACCTTAGCCGCAGCATCAGTAAATTCAATGTGGAGTTCATCTTCTGGAGTATAGAGACGCACCATGTGACGATCATCTTTTATCAACGGTTCGGCCCATATCAGTGGGAATTTGTAGAGTTGCAAATCACCCTTCTGGAAACCGATTGAAATTTGAATTTTGGATGACTGATATGGGTTCATCTGATTAATCATCAAAGATTGCCAAATGCAGTAGAAAATTTTCGAGGACTAATAAGAAAATGAAATGAATAAATTCGTTGAGAGTGAAAATTTTGTGATGCTGATGTACTCACTTCAACAATACCAACAGAATCGTTGAAGACGGCTAATGTACTCCACTTCGGTAGATAACTCTTTGGTTTGATCACATTTGGCAGATAACTCTTCGGTTTGATCACACTCAAATTCTTCACTTGACACTGTTCTTGACCAGTATCCGCACACCACAACAACAAACGATTGGCCGCTTTGAGATTCTAAAATTTCACTCTTGGAAAACACTGCTTGAATTTCTAGAAAATTCGAGTTCACTTAGAGCAGTTGAGCGATCAGGTGAGATCATAAAGAGAGTGAATCTTCAATTCAATTCAAACTCAGCGTACGTGTTCGTTGCAACGATTTGGTCGTCTCCAGAATGAGAACGTGCGATCAGCCAGAGCGCCCAAATGCTCAAGTTGTTGTTCAGCTAATCTCCAACGAACACACCATTCAGAAACTGCACTTGAAGGCGATATTGCTGATGGAGAGCATGTTGACTGAAATTTTTAATTTCCACGATATTCGCAAACCTTTTGAATGATGCACTATTTTGAAGTTGCTGTTTGCAACAAGAACGCTGATCGAACCAATCGCTTATTCATGTTTCCTATTGAACTTCATTCACATTGCTTAGCAATCCATTTTGCAGTTCAACAAAATGCGCGATCACTGGTGAGTACAAGGGTACACTGCAGTCGGCTTGTCACTTATCTCTTAGCTTCAAAATGCATCGATCAAAAGATATTATTCTATATGGAATTGCATGGGACAGTGGTGCACGATTGACGAACTGATTTCAATAATATTAAACGATTGTTTCAAAACGGTGATTTGCAATTAGATATTTTAGATATATTGCAATTAGATATTTGCAATTATGTATTCAAATTACATTAATTTTTTATGGTGCCTTGTTTTGGCTTCATCATATTCGTTTATAATAACTTCTTCGATCTGTTTACATGCTAAACGCAGTAATCTTTCCAGTTGTGTGCATATGAAACGTACATTTCAGATTTCGTTTATATTTCATTCTTAACAACAACAAAGACGACGAATTCAATTATGATAGCAGTGAGGATGACGATGAGAAATGACACGCAACAAAAATTAACAAATAAATCGAATCGAATCGAAATGTTCAAATTGCAAAAATCTTTCAGCATTTGAATTGATTATATCATCAACTTATTGACCTCAAAACGTCAGTTTCTAATTGTTCTAATATTGGCACAACAACTCGATTGTGACTGATTAATATTTGATTGAAAAGGTCCTTTAGATGCATTCAGTTTTCTTGCATTCTCATCCAGATAACAGATCGTATTGATTTGTCTGTATATAATTGTTTTGATTTTTTATGTTAATTTGATACTGTAAATTAAATCAATCAGCCATATTCCCGCAATTCGAATCGAATCAAA